ATTGGCACCAGAGCATGTAATAATGTAAATATAAGTTCTGGCGAACCTGTTCTATGGCATGTCTTAAAGGGTTAAAAAAACGTTCATTTAGTAAAATAAAATTACAGTGACAGATTATTTATATTCACTATTTGTTTTTTAAATCTAACAAATGGTAGTTTTTCACCAAAAAACTTCATCTGAATCAATTTTCAGCTATGTTGAATTTTTGCATGTAGTCTTTGCAAAATGCTCAAGACCTTTTTGCTACTTGGGCCCAACTTGACCTTGCATGTCCAGGAACAGATTGTTGATTTAGAGTGACACCCCAGGTCACTACAGGTGATGCAGCATATGGAGCTCTGTTGGTGCAATTGGCAGTGTTTTCAGTCTGTAGCCAGGCAACCAAAGATCATGCTGAGTGAGAAATGTGGCTGTGCATCATTAAATGGACAAATGGGAATGAGGATGAAGTTAAAGCCAGACAGCTGCTAAAACAATAAGACACTTTAAAACATACACACACTCACACACATCCATGGAGAGACAGCAAATATCCAAAACAAACATGAATACCCTTTACCTTTGCTCACACCGTCTTTTCAACGAGTTCTGCCAGAGGCTCTGTACCGAGTTCTGCACCACTGACTTCATCTTGACATATAGAGATCCGAAAGTTGCCAGTAAGTAACCAGCAATTTACTCCTTGGTTAAACACTTTGAAGCCACAGAGCCCCATCACCAGCAGCAAATCCATCAGAGAGGAATAAACGCTGACAAAGACAGGGGACAAGAGAGAAAGAAAGGGAGAATCTATCTAAACCTCTTAGACTCAAACAACCTTCCTGTCACAAGCAGCATGCAGGGTGGTGTCAGTAATCCCTGAGGTGTGTAATATGAAACAGCATGTTAATGCTGTATCTCTTCCCTTTGAACCCTTTTCAGTGGAAATAAAGGACATCTTCAATGATAGACTTTTCACTTTCCCAACAAATAGCTTTTGTCCTAAGATTTTTGGTTTCACCTGTTCTCCTTCATTACCTTTACATGATCTATTTCCTATTGTCTTGCCTTCTTCTGAAAATGCATATAGACTGGAAACAATATATGCCAATTTGTTTAATTAGTATAAACGACAGCTGTGGCACAGGAGATATGTACTTTCCCCGTGATTGGAAGGTTGCAGGTTCAAGCCCTGCTCAGTCTGTCGCTGTTATTGTGTCCTTGGGCAAGACACTTAATCCTCTTTGCCTGCTGGTGGTGGTCGGAGGGGCCGGTGGCACCAGTGTACAGTACACTCACCTCTGTCAGTGTGCCCCAGGGCAGCTGTGGCTACAGTGTAGCTTATCACCACCAGTATGTAAATGTTTGTGAATGGGTGAATGACTGATTGTGTTGTAAAGAACCTTGGGGGTTCCAGGACTCTGGAAGGCGCTATATCAGATACAGGCCATTTACCATTCAAGATTTTATAGAAAATGAATATTTAAAAATATTTTTTTTGACTTGAAACATGCTCTTGAACCTAAATAAACAAATAAACGTGGGTGGGTAAATGAATGTTTTTTGGGCCACGCTATATATATATATATACACACACACACACACACACACACACACACACACACACACACACACACACACACACACACACACACACACCTTTAGCTTTGATTACGGTACGCATTCACTGAGGCATTGTTTTATTGAGCTTCTGCATTGTCACAAGAATTATTTCCATCCAGTGTTGTATTAATGTTTCACCAAGATCTTGCACTGATGATGGTAGAGTCTGATCGCTGCACAAAGCCTTCTTCAGCACTTCCCAAAGACTCATTGGGGTTAAGGACTGGACTCTGGTGACGTCTGGTGTGTGAAAATGATGTCTCATGCTACCTGAACCACTCTTTCACTATTTGAGCCCGATGAATCCTGGCATTGTCATCTTCAAATATGCCCCATGCCATCAGGGAAGATAGAATAACCTGATCATTCATTATATTCAGGTAGTCAGCTGACCTCTTTCTTGGAGTACATCCTGTTGCTGAACCTAGACTTGACCAACTGCAACAACCCCAGATCATAGCACTGCCCCCACATGCTTAGGCACTAGGCATGATGGGTGCATCACTTCATCTGCCTCTCTTCTTACTCTGATGCAGCCATCACTCTGGAACAGGGTCAATCTGGACTCACCAGACCAGTTTTTATTAATGCTTTGAACAGATCTTAACCCAATTTTAGTGGTTTCTGCAATGTCCATAGATGTTTTCTCTGCTTGATGCATGCCAATGATCTGACCCTTCTCAAACAGACCAACATATTTTCCACGACCACCAGATGTGTCTTTCCACATGATTGTTTAACAAATGAGAAGCAACTCATTGCACCAGTGTGGGTTCAATCATTTGTCCAATAGGAAGCTCATACTTATTTGCTTAGTTAATTCCAGGTGGTGAGTTTTCTTTTTTTTGGGGGGGGGGGGGGGGGGGGGGGGGGGGGGCAGTGCATCTATTGGGGCTGGATAGTTCAAGTAGCACGGCACCCAACCCTTATGCATAGGACCTGGGCTCAAATCCAGGCTCGGGCAAATATCAACATCCAGCATGGTTCCTTAGGCAAGACCCTTGGCGCTACCACCTACCTCATAATATGATGAGAGAAACTGAAACACATGAAATGTCGGCTCAGACATCGCCCGGCCCAACAAGGTTTGTATCAGGCGCTGGGGAACCAGAGCACCCTGATGAAAAGTGGGCTACTGCAACAAGATGCAAATGAGAGAGTTGCAAGAAACGGGCTTTTCTTGAATGCTACAACTCCAGTAACCCTACTAGAGGGGCTACATGTAGATATTGAATATGGTTACGTCAAACACACTCTAGGATGATAGGATTTCTTGCTCTAACCAAAATAGATTTGGCAAAGTGCCATTGCATCATTTCTGCTCATAAAATGCTTTTTTTGTCATTTTTGTTTCCTTTTGACTGTTTTCCTGCATTTAGTTGCATATGTCTTGGTTGCTACGAATATTCAAAGCAAAAGACTCTGGAACAGAATCAGATGAGAGTGATTATTCTAGCAGCACAAAGAACTGGACTTGAGAGGAGCCTTTCCTCTGGCACAAACTTATCTATGTTGTCAGGTGTGCTTGAGCGATTAACCACCATGCTGTGCTCCTTGGTGGAAACTCTCAGTGGGAGTGAAATTCTTAGAGCTAGGTGAAGATTAAAGAATGGCAGCTTGAAGTCTCATCTGTTTGTTCACAAAGTCTGATGGATAGTGATGCCTACTCTACCAACTCATGGCTGCTTATCAGTTATCAGTTTTATGTTCTTTCAGCTCTAAAGCCCTCATATCTGTCCACTAGCTCCCTTGAGCCAGGTTTACAAGAAAAAAAATACATAATTGTCTGCCACCTATGATCTTTTTTCTCACCGTTTTGATATGAGACACTTCACATGTTACAAATCAAAGCTCAGTCCAATCTTCAGGGAATTCACGTGTTCACTTAATTGCTAAACTATGATTTGTAGAATACCTTGTTTCATCAATGAACTTTAGTTATTACAGTGAAAAATCATCCAAATTATATTTCTGGTGAATACAATTCTAACTGAGATTGGAGTTATTTTGTCATGCTCCAAAATATGTCCTTTTTGATTATTTGGCAGCTGTCAGACCAAAGACGCTTTTACTGTTATTTCAGGCACGCTGTCACTGCTGTCCCACCACGCTGTACACCTGCTGTGACTCACATCCCTCTTATCTCATGTCAGACCACATAGTAAAATTCCAGTAATAACCAGATAATGATAAAACTGGGAAATGCTTGTTAAAACAAGAAACACGTAGATAGCATTTAACTCATTTCTATTAGGTCACATTCTGCATTAATACTGTATCTCAACGGTTGTCTTATAAACTATCTCTGCATGCTATTGGACAACAGACATCACTACGGATGTCACTCAACGAGGCAATTCGCCATAAACCCGTTGGAGAAGATGCAAATACATCCTTTTTCTAAATAAATGTGGGTACATTTATCTGCTCATGACTCAAAGAAAACCCAAATTTAAAATTTTCCAAAGTTGATGCCAAATCCATTTTAAATGAGCCATCGCCGTTAGTATTCCACTTTATCACATCATCCCGCCCATCAAACCGATAACGCCTTATGGTTGGCCCACTAAACCATGATTGGCTGGTGCCCCAATAGAGCATGTACTGACCTGCAAAGCTAAAAAAATTAACTCAAACTCACTCAAATTTTATTTATATAGCACTTAATCATACAATGCATGCAACTCAAAGTGCTTGACAAATTTAAAAGGCACCGCATACCCACATTCCCTCCCATCCCCCAGAATTTTAAAAACAGTCTGACGATAAAAATCCCTTCACAGCACTCATCCTCCGGCACACACGCACACACACATGCCCCCCACCCCCCAAATGGAAAAAACACAATGGACTGAGATCAGATGAGCCACAACAGCTGAGATAAGGATAAGGAAACACCATCAGGGGAGCCATCTGCCCTGACAGCTGCAGATCCACAGCAGCAGCCGAGGCACCGACAGAGGGCACCGAGGGCAGGGAGGGCGAGCATCCCCACCTCCACCTAGGCACACCAGGAAAACAGGTTTAGAGATAATGCCTAGATTTCTAGGGTGCTTGTTTGTTTTGGGGAATGAAAACATGTTATTTTAAATGTCAGGACCAAAGTGTGCACTTTTCCTCCTTCTAGTCGTATTATCTACATCTTAGTACACGTACATCTTAGTTCTCAGTAAACCAATCCTACACATGGAGACAGTGTTTGGCCTTCAATTGCCACATAAGTCAAGCGTTAAAAAAATTCTTCCACCTTTCAAATATGACCGTTTTATCATGAATGATGTTTTGGATTTATCCACTTTACTTTCTGACTTTCTATGTGCGGTTTCTAAAAGCCAATCACAGGTGTACAGTATGTGGGTTGAAATAGTTATTTAATGTTTTATTTTATTTCTCAGGATCACTACTACGGCCGCCTGTATGATGGACCTGAGACGGTATCCACTAGATGAGCAAAACTGCACTCTTGAAATAGAAAGTTGTGAGTATTATCTGGTTTTATTTAATCATCACATTACATACAAAAGGTTTACAATCTTAATATGTGTATTAGACCATTTAGAATTCCAGACAGTATAAATGATTCATAAAAGCCAAAAACTGTGTT